CGAAAATGTTGACGGAGGAGCACAAAACCAAACGTTTGGCCAGTGCATTGACTTTTCTTGAGCGCTACAGTGACGAAGGAGATGATTTTTTAAGTCGTATTGTTACAGGCGATGAAACGTGGGTAGCCTACGTTACACCGGAATCAAAGCAACAATCCATGGAATGGCGACATTCATCATCTCCAAGGAAAGTCAAGTTCAAGCAAACAATTTCTGCTCAGAAAATCATGTGCACAGTGTTTTGGGACAGATAAGAGTGTTGCTTATTGCTTTTTGCCTCATGGTGAAACGATCAATTCAGCTGCATACTGTGAGACTTTAAAAAAACTGCGCCGTGCAATACAAAACAAAAGGCAAGGCTTACTGAGCAAGGGTGTCGTTTTGCTCCACGATAATGCTCGTCCACATACGGCAAATCAAACTCAAGACCTAATCACATCATTTAGCTGGGAACAATTAGACCACTCTCCATACAGTCCCGACCTAGCGCCAAGTGACTATCATTTGTTTCTGCATTTGAAGAAGCATCTGGCAGGGCAGTGCCATAACAATCACGACGAAGTCAAAACGACCGTTCTGCAGTAGTTGTGTCACCAGGCGGCAACATTCTTTGAGGACGGAATACAAAAGCTGGTCCCATGATACAATAAGTGTCTCAATATTAATGGAAATTATGTAGAAAAGTAGTGTAAAATATGGGCTTTTACATAAATAAAAATTTTGTTAAAAATGTTTGCTTGATTTTTTTTATATTTCAAAACGGTACTTACTTTAAAAACACGCCTTGTACAATACAGGTTGAATCATCTGACCATACAACTTTTTTCCAGTCACCTATTGTTCAATGACGTCATTCTTTACATCACTGAAGTCTAATTTTTCTGTTTCCCTCCAAAACCTGTGGTTTCCATTTTGGCATGTGACTATTCATTCCAACTCTCTGCAATTCCCTGTGTGCAGTTCAGTCTGAAATGGTTGCAGAATGGCCTATATTAAATGAATCTGTCAGTTGTTATACACTTAACCCTTTTCAGATGATGGCATCTCATTCATGACAGACTGTTTTTGAATGGCAACTGTATCTCTTAGATCTGCAATGTGGATCATTTTTCCAGGCATTTGAAACTTAAGATCTCACATCAATTACCATATACACATGGTGAATGATCATTGCATTTACTTGCATAAAGGTTTCTAATTCAGTAGCCTAGTAGTATATTTTATTCATTTAATCATATGTTAGACCAGAAACCAGTCCTCTGCACCTTCAATGACAATCTGATCTGAAAGAAAGATCTGATCTGAAGCAATTCTCATTCCCTTCAGATGTTTCTTTACAACTAAGACTGAAAGACAGTCCTGCACTAGAGCATCTCAGGATGAATCTCCTGCAAGAACAAAAACATCACAACCACAAGCTTCTCAATGTTGCTAAATTTTGTCCTGTCTTGATGCAGCCATCATGAACTCAAATTGTCAAGGTAAGCAAACTGATAGACTTTTAAGTTGCATTAGCCCTAACAATGACATCTCTCTATTGTTCTCATGGCATGGCTTTTGCTCTCTTGTGTCTGAACAGTCACAAACTTTTCATAAATAATTGCTCATTAATTATGTGATTTTTGAGCTGTGTTTCCATATTTATAAATTAAATAGAAATTTATGTGCTGCAATGCTTCAAAATTTGTCCAAACACTGACTACACCATTACTTATAAGATCCATTTTTTATTGCATATCACCAACTATTGTTGGAATATTTCCACATAGACCAGTGTTTCTCAACGGGGGCGATATCACCCTCATGTGGGCGTTTTTCCATGTTGAGGGGGTGATTACTAACAATTTATATTTTGGGGGCAAAAAACAATTTTCTGGGTGATATAGTAAAACATTACATTAAGAATAATTAGATATTTTATTTGTTATATCGTACAATAATTAAACAAATGACGTTATACTAGTCATTATTCTATTCAATGCAGTACGAATTTGGCGTTAGTTTTGGCCCTCGGCATCGAAATTTTGTAGTGAAGGAGGCAACACTACGTAACGGTTTTACTGAAGGGGGCGATACTACACTGAAGGGGGTGACGATTCGTTAGAGGTTGAGAAACACTGACATAGACAATAAAAGAAGAAAGATGAAAAGGTATATCCTTTTATTATTAAAAAATTATTTGAATTTTTTCTTCAACATTCTAAAGTATTCTTTCTGATAGAAAAAGTTCTATGAATGACGATTTGATCGATGTAAACCCTTACATCGATCGAATTATTAGAAGTGTCTTTAATCTAACACTAAAATATGATCATCTTAGACATATTTAATGATCAAATAATTAAGAAAAATTCAATGGCTTAATACTGAATATGAACTACTACAAAGATTGCTTGATCGTGTTTTTTCTCCATCAATAAAACAAATATTCTGGAGTAATTCTGTCAATCTAATTCAAAAATGTTTCAATACTAAGTCATATGCAACATTTACACTATTAAATCTATTTGTTATTTTTCATAACTATCTTGCCCTCATTTCTGCAACACAAACAACAAATGTAATGAGTACATTCTGTAAATAAAAGAAATTTTCACATTATCAAGTTTATGATTCCAACAGCTTTATAAGGTTTACTTCCATATCTTCCTTGATTAATCTTGTAGTTTTTTGGCAGAACAGCCATGAAATTTTTATAAGATCAGATGCACAAAATTACTTGATGATTTAGTGTAAGATGACAATGATGATATTGAAGAAAATTGTACACACCAATACAGTATTTACTAAATTACTTCAGGCTGTGTTGATGATAATCATTTGATTTATTTATGTTTAGGTTGTTATTCTAATATTAGAATTTATTTAGAAAAATTTATGTTCAGAGCCATTTGCCAAATAAGCATTAAAGAAATCTAACATGACATACAGTCAGTTTTATTTAATGACTAAAATATATTTGCAACTATGCCAAAACCTCATTCTAATGATCTATACTTATGATTATCTAGTGTTTTCTTTATTAGAGCAGTAATGATTACAATGCAAAGTATTTAAATTTTATATAAAAAATTAAGTCACAAAATTTATTTAAGATCAATTTTGAATAGAAAAGTAACTCAAAATACAATTACATATTCTCTTGTAAAAATGTTTACAGTCGTATATGAATAAAATCTTATTTTCGAGTTTCTTTAGGAATTCCAAGTTCACGAAAACGAAATTTTGATTCCGTTATCTTATCTGTCATTGACGTCCTTTCTCCGATTGACAAATTTCTCATGAACTTCCAAATTAAATCATCTATTATTCAGAAAATTTAAAAAATGTTTTCATTATTTCTAGTTAAAAAAAAATTTACAGTACAGTAGACCCCCTATAACACTGTTAATAATTCCGTGTTATACTAATTTCATGTTGTATGAGTCACTTAGATTTTACAAATATGTGTGCTGGGTTGTGAATGGCTCAACAGTGTTATAGGGGGGTCTACTATATTATTTTTTCCTCTTTACAAAATATAAGACAGCAAAAAATGAATCAAAATTTTGGCATTGGTTTTACTATACAGTACACAGGCACAAACTTACACCATACCACTATCAAAGCAGTCTTGAAAGCCTTTTTTTTGTGATGCCTTTAAGGACTTTTGTTAATGTGGCTTTTGCCCTCTGATATTGAACAGTTTAGATTTGAATAACTTGTTTTAAGGAACAGATTAAAAAAAGAACAAACAGTCTGTAGAAACAAAATCACAGGAAAAGCATTGCTATGTTCTTCTTGCTTAGATATTCATTGAACAAGAATGATCAATGCACAAAGACACTCATGACAAAGGATCTAGTTCTATCCATTCCAGAAATTGGGTTGCTTTCATCATACAGCTTAACATTGACAGCCAAGACTTTGTCTATAAAGATGTGTAATTTCACCTCCAGGAATGAATATGTTGTTTATTTGTTGCTCCGTAAGTACCATTTCCTGATATTATACTATATAAATTCAGTCATATCATGCTGCTCTGTGATAGCTGCATACTAGGGTTTCTTTCCCGGGATCCCGTTTTCCTGGGATTCTCGCCGTTTATTCCCTACGAGAAAAATCCCGGAAAATTTAATTTTCCCGGGAAATCTCACATTTCAATAATAATTCACCATGTAAGGTTTTCTTTCTATTATTTATTATACGAAAAGTTGCATCTTGAAGACTCACCTAAGAGAGAGGTTTCTTGAGGTTTCTTGTTGCATATTATTACCTATGTTTTACAAGTCTCTACTTGTTAGTTCATGTAATATCTATGTATTGTGTTTGCGCATCATTGAACAGCGGAGACTTGCTGAAAGTAAATATCACTCATCGCACTTTATTTTTTATTTCATCTTTAGAAGTAAAATAATATTTTTTTTTTGTAATCATTAAAACTCCCAATGATGAAAGTAAAATAAAGCGTTTCGCTTTATTTTACTTTCATCTTATAATGTAGGAGAATATAAATTAATTGAGCCTAACATGTCTGTATGGGTGAGATTGGCCCTACACTTTTAGTTACTTACTAGAAAATAAATTAAATTATTCAAATTTATGATATTCCTGTATGATCTTTTTTATTCATATAAAATTCTATTTTACTATCTCATCCCGGAATTTCCCGGGATCCCGGGAAAAGAAATTATTTTTCCCGTAATCCCGCTGGAGGCAAATTTCCCGGGAAATGAGAAACCCTACTGCATACAAAAATCTGACCTCCTTATTTCTCAATATTTTCACATACCATAAAAATCCAAAAGTTTGATTCATTTTTGACTGCACAACTTAACAGGATGTTCTGGTAAGCCAAACCATATGAATTATATTAATCTTTGTATCCTTTTACATGTAAAACATAGTGCCAAGGAGGAGGAATGGATTCAAGTTAACTTGTTGGCGTGAAGTGACCAAAGAGTTTAGCAGGTTGCATCCAGACTTCCCATCAATTGCATGCAACAGTTTGGATGCAGCCTTTTAAAATTTTTGGCAATTTCATACCAACTGCAAGTTCCCACCAATTAAAGTAACTTGAATTCATTCCTCCTTACTTGGCACCACACTTTACCTGTAAAAGAACAAATAAAGATCAACACAACTCCTATGGTTCCAGACTTATGAGACACACTGTATTTTATAATCTTAAATTAATATCTATATAAAATCTTACCATTTGTTTCAACAGTAGGAAATGCTAAAGAAACAGGATTATTTTGTGCTGCAACTTTAGATCTGTGCTTAGCTCCATACAAATGAGAGTTGTATTGTTCTTGAGATGTCATACTAACATTGCATAAATCACATGAATACTTTTGTGGCTTCTTCTGTTGAGTAGGAATGTAATACGGCACACCTACTGGAGGTCTGGAAAAGAAAAGAAAAAATTATTTTTAAATTATTTGTAAATACTGTTGTAATAGCTTAAAATTTTACACTTTTTATTAATAAAAGTTTAATATCCGTTATTTGTAATTAAAAACAAATGAACGAGCAATAATTGTTAATTCTTCATTTTGTTTAAAAACTAGATTCACACACACAGAACTTCACAATCAAGAGTCTAAAGTTAATCAGAAAAGCCGACTACCTTAACCAATCAGCTTTCATCAAGAATACAAGTATATACAATACATATATTGCAATTTTCAATTATAATTACATCATATCTGTTGTAAATGATATGGTCAGCTTATCTTTAAAAACTTTTTGGGGAGGAATTGGTTGCATTACAATTTCTTATATTATACACTTATATGTTGCTAAACCCATCTCTGTGGGGGGAAAAGTTTTAAGTGTTAAAAAAATTAATTAATTAACATGAAGAGAATATACAAGAACCAAAAAACATTTAAATCTAACAATAAATTATTCTGTAATAAAGATACAAAAAGTTAAATTTCAGTTTGATTCTTACTAAGAAGCCATTATTTTTATAGCAGAAGGAATATAATATTGTAACTAGTTACAGTATAATATAATACAATGACACTATTAGTATGTATTTCACTTCAAATTAACATTTGATATTTTTTAATAAAGATTTGTGAAAATATACACGCAGTCACAATCACATTCAAAGGAATCAAAAAATCATTGAGTGCAATGTAATCATAATGTGGAGTTGATTTTATTTTTATTTTTAAAATGAATTAATAATAAATTAAACAGATTTATAGTAATGTTAAAGTTCTATTTATTATTAATTAGAACTGGAATTAAACATTAGAATAAGTAGGAGTCAAGTCCCAGGATTATCAGAGTTAGTTTTATTTTTCAGAATTTGGACAATAAGGGTGCAAACCAGAGTTACTGCTATATAATGTGTTTGTATGTGTTTATTATCCATTACAGTATTATATTTAACATTTAATTGCTGTACTGTACCATTAGCATGTGCAACTGATTGTTGTGAAGTACAATAGTGTGAGATCAAGGAACTGACTTTTCTTTATTTTAGGGAAATTTTAATCAATTTCTCCATTGCAATCGTTAAGAAAACATCACATGAAAAAGAGATTGAATGTCACCCTTCTCATCAACAGATGCAAAGAAAAACAATCTATTGTTAAAAGAGGGGAATGTCAACCTTTGAACGAGTAAACAGGATGAATCTAACACTTCACAAACCAAATATTAAACTATCTGCCCTGTTTAGACAACATCTTGCTGTCATCACCAGTCCACCTATGACCCAACAGCTGCAACTTCATCTCCCAAAATCATCCAATCACCTGATCATTTTCCCAGGCTTAAGGAGGATAAAAGGGGATCAAACTCAAGACTCAGGGAGGACATTCCCCTAAAAGCCAGAAACCACAGCTCACCCACCATACTCCAGGACAAACTATCTCCATGGAAGTCTCCCTACCAAGATGCCTCAACAGAAGTAGAAGACACCATCACTCCCCCTCAGAGGTATTATGTTAGAATGTTTGTAAATTCTGTCTTTTCACATTTAATGAGAATTAGTAGATAGTTGATAATTTAGTCCTAAATTCTAGTATCGGACATTATGTTACACTTATCAGTCTGTAATCTTGTATGCTTTAAATTAGTCCATTAAATTGTTATTTTTGTTGTTTAACCTGCTCTCACATGGACTTATTAGACACCAACACCCTATAATGACTTATCACCCCTCTGTCACTCAGATCAATCATCCAATATTGACAAAGTGAGCAGATCTTATTGACCTGTTGCCAAATAAGCAGTCTATAGGGAACTCCCTGGTTTCTCACTGTTATAAGTAAGGACATTCCTAAGTTGAGACAGACAACTTAATTTCCTTAAACTTGCTATGAAAAACAATTCAAAATTAGATATAATTTAACCTATCTTAAATTAATATACTATTTTAATGTCATATTTTTATACTTTCAATAAAATACTTTGAGAGTATGAAATAATTGATTGGTTTTACATATGTGTTTGTTAGTATAAATGGTGTAGAATAATACTTATAGAATAAAATTTAATGGTATGATATAAAAACTGTTGAAAACTATGAATAATTATAGTACTACATACAATGTATAATCACAAAGAACCCAGACTGATGGCTGAAGTCTAAAACAAGCCACCAGTCTGCAAACATCAGAAATCCTCAGAAACACAGCTGCAAGTGACTAGACACAGGGTTAATCTTAAAACCTACTGTACAGTACATGTGCCTTGCTTGTATTGTTTATTGATAATGCTTTGTTCTTACATGTGACAAGCTGCATTTGTGATGTTCAGTGGAAAACAAGAAACTGAAGATGATTAAGTTATAAATCTGTAATTATTGTAATTGTTTTCAAAATAAATATAATCCAGTTTTTTCTTTTTTTAATCCAACCTCATGTAGTCAAATATATACCATGTATTATAAACCAATTAAAATTAGGCAGTATCATTTTGATTATTATTATATGTAATTATATTATATAAAGTGTTGACACAAAAAATTGGTCCACTCACAATTGAGTTAGTGTAATATTCATATTGGAAAAAAGAGAGAGATGAGATAAAATAAAATTTGACAAAAATTCTGAAAATTTTGTTTTATTCACAAAACATGAAAATTTGCATAAGCAATGCTTGGTTGTTTAAAACAATCCAATTTTATTTAATTGGCGAGAAAAGCCAATTTTACATGAGACATCCTGTACTACATACAAAGTATTTGTTATATTCAATGTCTAACTATAATTTTAGGTTCCTAATGAAACAAATCTTTTGATATGCTCCACAAAAATAATAATTTTCATGATTCAACTTAATTTTGCCATGGCGTATGTCCATTCCAACAACATTTTTTTAATGTTAAATAACTTTTATATTTTTATCTAATTTTAAGAACATTTTTGCAAAATATGTTTTGACAAAAATGGAAACAAAGAAAGACTATCATCAACAACTGTTTAAACAAACCAATTATAAAAATGCTAACCACTATATCAAGTACAGTAAGACCCTGCTTAGCACTGCCTCGATTAACACTGAGTCAATATAACATGGTCTGCTTGAAGCCTTAAAAAACACCAGAATTTATGCTGATTCAAATTATCGCAGCATTTCATTGTTTCATATATAATATGATTATTCCCAAACACAAACCAATCAGCAAAAGGTGGCAATTCATCGTAGCGCCACACTTCCCTTAAATCTATCTTTGTTTTGTGCAATTTTGGAAAAAATATAACATCATGAATGCTACAGGCAATATTGACTTCACTTGGCAAGAATTAACTGATAACTGCACGAATGGAGCATGGAAAAGTTATGGCTTAATATATCCAAGAATTCTCAACAAGAAGAGCCTATCGCTGTATTGTTAGGTTGACAATTTGGTCAACCTAATCAATACAGAAGGACTAGGAGATGTAAACGAGCAAGGTATTGAGGAGTTACTGCACGTTTCTGGTGAGAGCCTTACCAACGACAACCTTCAAGAACTGGCAGAACAACGAATTCAAGTAGAACTGGAAAGTAGAGATTTTGAAAATGAATAACCCAAAAGCAACAAATGAAACTACATGACTTTATTGCAAAAAACAATAATTTCAGAAAAGTCGGGACCTTCGTCACAAAAAATAAACTTTACATTTCTGTGTGCATACGTTTGTGTGTTTATGTGTAAATTAATATAAAAATAACTTAAAGTAAAATTTCTTTATTTTTGGCTGTGTGTTTCCCTTTTCCTATTTACTCCATGTTAAGATGACCTCGTTTAATGCTGTTTTGTTTAGTGCTTTGTTGTCTAGGAATGCATCCCCATGTTAAGCAGGGTCTTACTGCATAGGCAAAATTTTTTAATTCTTACAAAAAAAGAAAAAAAAAACTGATCAATCTGTTAAATAACCAATTCTTGCAGATGATGTGTGACAGAATTGAATGAAAATGCAATACAGTAGAACCTCGAAAACTCGGCCCTCGATAACCCGGCACTCCGGATAACTCGGCCACACCCTGGCAGGGCAAAAAAATCCTTAGTTAATTAATTTTCATTATAGACAGCTTTATAAAAGTATAAAAGCTCTCATAAAGTATTTTTCTGAGGTCTGTCTTATCAGGTAAATTACTGTACACAGTGTATTCATTAATTTTCATTTTCATGTAGTAAAGGCTCTATGCCTTCATAAAGGACGTACCTTTCCTTTTTTTAAGGGTATTTGGGCAGTTTATTCTCTGTTGTATTCTCAAGCAAACAATACGTACAAGTACAGTACAGTATTTTCTGAGGAAACACGCATACTTATCCTTTTTTAACCCCATTCCCGATAACCCGGCATTTTCACAAACTCGGCCACCCTTCGGTCCACATTAGGCCGAGTTTTCGAGGTTCTACTGTATTTCATATACAGCATAAAAAGAAAACTGAGTTGTTAAATCATAAATTTATCCATAAACACAAATTATAAGCTCCTAGATATAATCTGTATATTCTAAAAAATCTATTTGATATAAAGTATATTATCAAAAACAATAGAAATCATAATAAGATTCTAAAAGCTTCTTTCATCACATCCTTAGTTATAAAAATTATTTTGTAATAAATTTTTAACAAGCAATTACTTATTGTGACATTGTCACAATGCTGGGCTGCAATTTTTAATAATATTTTTATTTAAAAAAAAAAAATCATTGCAACTTTCAGTCCAGACCAGGTTCTAGTTTGTACACAGTTAATCAGGGCTTCTGTCTCCAAGCTTTCCATATCTGGTCTTGATTTTCATCTATCTAGATCAGTGTTTCTCAACCTCTAACGAATCATCGCCCCCTTCAACGTAGTATCGCCCCCTCAATAAAACCGTTACGTAGTATCGCCCTCTTTACTTCAAAATTCCGATGCCCAGGGCCAAGACTAACGCCAAATTCGTACT